CCCCAACCCCTAAAACCCCAAAACCCTAAAACCCTAAGACCCCAAACCTTAAAACCCTACAACCCTAAACCCTAAAACCCTTAAGCTCCAAAGGCCTGCTGCGAGGCATACTGCGCGGCTTGGGCCGCCCTGGAAGCCGTGAAGGCAGCCTGGGCGCCCACATTGGAGCTATAGCTTCAACTCCTTAAAAGGGTGGTTATACAGGGTTTAGGGTTCAGGGTGTAGGGTTTAGGGTTCAGGGTTTAGGGCTTAGGGTTTGGGGTTTAGGGTTTAGAGTCTATATGGGGTATATGAAATTATTGGGGTTCTATAGGGGTAATGGAAAAAAGATGGAAACTGCCACATATTTTAATAGGGTCTATATTGGGGTTAGAGTCCCCCTTAAGTAGATAGAATATGGCTTTGGGTACATTATAATAAGATGCCCATATACCCCATATTCTAGTAAGGGAGACTGTAAACCTTAGCGGGGACATGTAGGGTTTAGGATTTATGGTTTACGGGCTAAACTCCTTCAGCAGGGTTATATAGGGGATTATAAGTCCTTAAAGGGGCTATAAGGGGATATATAGGGTTTAGGGTCTGAAGTCCTTAAAAGGGGGGAGTTATATGGGGGAGTAGTATAATTATTCAGGCATACTAAGAGTCTAGACTCTAGCCCATATATGACAGGGGTTAGGAGCATTCAGCTCTCTGTAAGGCCTTTTTGTCGGGATACCTAACAATATCAATAGGACGGGAATAGGGTCTACAGTTCTAGGCCGCCTTTTGGAAACCCCATGCAATGGCAAGGTTGAGGGATTTAGGGTTAAGGTTTTCGTGCTATTTAGGGGTTATGAAGATGAAGGTGCGATCTAAGGATTAACAGGGGAACGTAGGATTCATTGAGGAGTTTACCCTTTGGCAGGTAAGGGTTCTAGGTATTCAGGGTATTCAGACTCAATGCCCATCATACTAAATCCAGGGGAAAACTGCTCGGATCCGTCGATTGCATGAAAAAGGAAGCCACCAATCAACGAAAAGTCCTGTTTGAGCATATTGGCACTTAAATATACTATACATAACCCAATATATACCCTATGATGCTATAGTAGTTTCCATTTTATTTTCCATTATCCAAGTGTCTCAAAGAGCTGCCCAAGCTGTCCCCGTGACTCTGCCAAGGCTATGCGTACCTGATAATACTGTTGATGGAGGACCTTACACCACCTGAAGTCCCTAAAGTCCTAGGAATTACAGTAGTTTAGGGGATCTAAGTGGGCAAGATTGCCTCCATCAACAGTATTTTCCAC